TCTCAATGAATCGATTGTCCGAGGAGCATCTGCCCTCGCTCCTGTATCGAATCATTGTATTCTGTTAACAGGGGAGCTACATTCGGCCGGAAACCCTCGTCTTTGGAGCAAGATAATGAAATCAGTCGCGGCATCAAGTCGCGACGTGTTGAAAGGAACATCATCATGGCGATGCATCGCGGAGCCGAGCGATGGACGTGGGTGGGTACAGCTTCCTGGACTTCGAACTCACACCTAATGCTACAGCTGGGGATTTGATTGCTGATTGGTTTGCTTCCGCTCGGGTAGAATCTTCAGCTCAACTCTGCTTGGATCGCCGAATAGTGCCTGCGGGATGACATATCGAATTGACAGAGCGTGGAGTGGGGACTCCTCGGAGACCTTCGTTCCGACATCCCGTGGCGCCGGCGGCACACGCGTACCGAGTAAGGCGCCAGCGGGCACTTTCTTCTGAGCTTTCTGCTTCATGATGGAGGCTGGTGAAAATCGGCCTCATTCGAATCACAAACAACAAACTCTTCTTCTCCAGAGAGGAAATCCTGCGTTCGCGCAGGAATGCCCGGAAAACCCGCGAGGAATTCCCGCACATATCGTGGAGTCTCCAGGCTTGTTGCTGGGTGGTGAGACGACTTACTCGAGGGCGTAGACGTCCTCGGAGAAGGGCAGAAATTCCCACGCCTGTCCGAAGGATATCGATGTCACATCATCCGCGCTTCCGAGACGCTGATCTCCGAGTAATTGAAGACGCTTCCCTGTCGACTTCCCGGAATAGCTGAATGAGCCGAAGCTAGGCTATATAATCAGCGGATAGCTGAGCTGGATCTTCCAACTTGATCGTTCGGGGTTCTGCGCCTTTCCTAATCCGCATTATCTTCTCCTGATGAGATAGAGGACAGAGGGGATACTTCCCTCATCCTTCTCGGGATGTTATGCCCCACTGTCCCGATCGACAGCTCCGAAACCCCGAGCCCTCAGAGTCGAGCCTGATTGTTCGATCTTGCAGTTTTTAGCTTCGAGTCTCCTTGCCAACATTCCGACTCCTTCGGAGAATACATCGACTGCTCGACATCGAAGCTGACCGATCAATAATTCCATGTGAGCCAACGATCTATTACTCATTTACAGCTACATTCCTGATCCCTATCGAAAGAAGAGGGGGAGGATTCCGACAAAAACCGCGATTTCGCCGGTTTTTCGAGGGACGAACCCGATAGATTGGTCGCTGATGAAAATCGGTCCCGTCCGAACCTGACTCGAGGAACCAAGCTCAGTCCATCTTCGAATCCGCTCGAAACTCCGCGATATAATGAAAAAATATCTCAGGGTACCGTTTCGGAGCTTCAATGATCACCCTGGAATCGTTTGGCAGAAGAACTGATCAGATGCCGTTTCCGTGAGGATTGAGCGACAGAACTTTGTTCTTCTCCGCATTCCAAACTTTCCCCTGCGGGCGAATCTGTGGCACCGAACTGCATCCGATTCTATCCTCGGTGGGTAAAACTGAACAGAAGCAAGCGCCTCAGAGATAATTCACAGCACGGCAAGGCCACGGAGACACTAATAAGAGAGAGCGATCGATCCGTTGGGCTCTCATGTCGCGCGAAAACAGGAACGTCGAAGTGCTAATCGCTCGAGCATCGTGAGGCTCGAGCGAAGATTCAAATTGCGACCAGTTTGGCGCCAAGCGTCGTCTTTCCCTCTCGCTTCCATACACAACACACACGCGGCGTCCACCACCACTAGAGCCAGCCGGAGGAGCTGCCTCTGGATCATCATCTTTCGCCGACGAGAAGCGATTTCTCTTGAAGGAGTGTTTGCGAAACGTTACGGGTTTGCAGTGGATTCCCGCCAAGTGGCCATCGTGTCGATCTGACTAGCCCCCGGCTGCACAGTAAGTTTCACCGGTATCTGTTCGCACGCTTGCCTGTCGGGCTAATGCTAAGCTAGTTGGCTGCTCAGTTGTCGTCGGCGACGGCTGCCGTGGTTACGCCCACCATCAGCTGAGAGCGCGGCTTTACCCCGTTTTCCGGCTTATGTACGTTGAGCGTATCAGTGGAGCTCAGTAAAGCGAAGCAACAAAACCGAGGCTTCACCCTGTATCGTTCGAGTTTGTTTGGTGGAGTTGCTAACGAACAGAATCCAACGCAAGTGACTCTATGCGTGCGACAACTGGAGTCGACTCACTCAGCTCCGTCGAGAGATTCCGGCACAACGAGTTGTCACTGACTGACGGTTCGCTCTCTTAGATACCAACCGCGGAAAGTTCCTGATCGGTGGAGTTTTTCAAAAACGAACGGACTTCTGAAAAACAGAATGATCCGATGCAAACGGCGGTGTTGACATCGACAACCGAACTCGCGTTGTTGTCGGCGGACTCGTTGGGTGTGTACAGTGTGATCGGAATGAGTTGGAGTTCCTCGCGGGGCTAATCCGTCGTCGGTTCCGTCGACGGCCCTGACATTTGATCCGTTGCGGGATACTAGGTTTTAGAGAAAGTCCAAACTGGGACGGAAACATTACAACGTCTCAGAGCTCCTCAATGTTCCGTTGAGAGAGGAACTTCCAGAGCGTAGTTTGTTCATCCGTGACAGGCGCATCGAGTTGGGGGAAATTCGAAAAGGCGATTTGGCGACGAAGTTCAAGGTAATCTCGCAAAGCTACACCACCGTCACGACAATTCGAAAATCGATTCTGTGCGGAAAGAAGTTTCGTTCATCTTTTGATAGCATATTCCGAATAGTAGTGCTCTCGATTCGAAATTATCGCGTTGTGAGTGCCAAGCAGCAGAGAAAATATCCACCGTGCAGAAATACGCTCCGGCAACGCTGGGAGCGTTCTGTTCTCAACGGTCACGAGCAGCTCGAAGGATCCAGTGAACTGCTGCTATCGCGGTGAAACTGCGTGCAAACAGCGACGTGCAACTCAAAGTGCACCCCGTGGGTGGTTGAGCAGCTCCGCCGCCGGGGTGTGAGCATTGGATCGACGGATGACCAACATTTCGCGAGAAGTTTTCTGATTTGTGTCGCTCTGGTGCATATTTTCTCGAGCTGAGACGGATGGAAAATTGTGCCCATGGAAATCGAATTCGGTGTATTGAATTTTTCATCGGAATCTCCCGTCTGGGTCCGCTCACGCGAGGCCGCTGACTGTGAGAGATTGCGGATGATCGTTTTAAGGTTTAGGAAGCGGTCTCTCGCTGGAAGCTTTGTCCTTCGCACGTTAGAATTCATTTACCTCTTCGGCTTTTTGTTGTTTGTCTTCTGGCAGAAATCGTAGACGAGTTATCCGTTCGCTAGCCGCTTGCCGTGCGATGGGCGTTTAGGCGGGCGGGCGTTCGGGTGGACGGCAGACAGCCGATCGGCTGGTCGGATGCGCAGACTTTCGGTGTCGGTTGGATTGAAGACGAATCTATCGGCTTGCGCCCTGTGAAGTCATTTTGAATCCGACTTCATCGAGCAGCTTCTCATTAACACGCTGACCTTTAGCCGGCAGCGTAGCGGAAATTTCTTTCCCATCGGCTTCGTAGATTTCGTCGCCGCCGTCTATGCATGACGAGCGAAAGCTCGCTCTACGAAATGTTCCGACAGACTTTTGGAAATTCCGTACGCTCGCATACGGCGAATATGAAGCACGAGCCATACGCCTCTTCTCTCGCTTGGTCATTCTAGAAGCGTCCATGCATGCATTCCGGTCAGCGCGTTCCCAATAACGGTATTCCACCACGGCTCATCGAGCATGTGGTCTGAAGCTCGATGCCCTGGAAACAATGTCACGATAACGGCTGAGAGCTCGATAGGTGAGGAAATCTGTAAGTTGACGAATCGCGCTGTCTGCTCGATGTTAATCCGATTGCTTCGGAAGTTGGCTTTTGTCTACGGACTACGAGCAGTGAGCAGCAGTTAGATTCGCGGTCTGACGAGGAACACTTCCAGTGATGCGTTTCCACGTTTGGCTGTTGACGTCTCGATGCCCGCCGGCCAAATAGGGAAAGCTTTCGGGCATATCCTCGTGTTTGTTGCACTGCAATAACCACCTAGGTAATAAAGTGTTGCGTACTCGTCCCTCCTCCGCCCGAGCAGAAATGACACGCGCTCCGCCGATATGAAACCCAGCTACGCTCTCTGAGAGATCATGGGAGGGACATTTTGACGAGGCAATACTCTACGATATCCTCGAAACTTTCGTGCGAGCGCACTCGACTGGAGTTCGCGTTCTCCAGGAAGAACTTTTCGAAAGAATTCCTTTGAGCGATTAAATCATTCGACGAGGGGGAGCACATGGCTTGATTCGCGTAAGAATCATCAGCATGCGGGCTGGGGTTAAGGAGACGTCGCTTGGAGAAATCTGCTGATCCACTAGTCAAGGTTGTCCGTGACCGACGTCGGCGCAATCGAGGCGATCGAGTGAACGAAGATTTGAAGTGGTCAGCGGGCTTGTTACGGTGGTGTTGGTTGCGGTCGTATTCACTCTGTCTACTCGGCCAATCATTCATCGAAGCCGAGCGATGGACGCTCAGTTATGAGCAATCAAAAAACCACTCGTCTCCGAAGGCCCGCTCAACGAGAAAGTGCTCGTCATGCCTCTACGAACGGAGCCGTCTTGCGTTCGCCTTCGAGGCGCAAACGATGAGCTTGACACACTATGTTGACACCAGATTGTTCGGCGCTACTATCGATATAGCCAGTGTCAACATCGTTTATCGCCGGCATCCTGACAACTCATTTCAGAAATAATTGAAGAAGTTCCCGAAGCCATGAATGAGGTCTTCCGCTTCGACTTTCTCGACGATGATTTCAGGGAAGCATCGGGACGGCACCGTTGGCTGGTGGTCCCAGGGGGACCGAAATTTTTTTTCCTCAAATGTATTCGATTCAGAGCAGCTGTCCCGGCAACTCTTGACAGAACAATACTCTCGTGAGAAACTGACAAACTAACTTTCCGAGACGTTTCAGGTGTTATCGGTGCCAGACGGGCGAAATTGAACACTGTCGCTGGAGAGGATGTACCGGTTCAAAAGTTCCAAATACAAGAATGCGGCCCCTAAAGTCCCAAAAAAAGAGGTAAATACCGAGAGTGTTTCGGATCGGAGATTTTTTTCTCCGTGGCCACTAGTGTTGTTCTCGGCAGTGTTCGTCATCCAAAGCGGAATTATCGAAATCAGTCAACGGTTTTGGTGGCTGCCGTCCACGTTGTTGCTGCCGTTGTTGTCGACGTCGCTGTGGTGAGGTGTTGAGGTACATGCTGTCGTTGAAGCGTTCGACCGAAGTCTGCAGCGGGACGACAGCGACGTCGAAGAGGATGGTGGCGATGGCGGCAACGGCTCCGCTCCGTTCGCTTGTGATCGAGCTTGGGGAAAATTTTCCGCCTCAACATATCTCGTTGAAGCGACATTTTTTGCTTGAGTTTTTGCCGCTTCGCCGTTCATGGAGATTTTCTCGTTGGGCGCGACTCGCGCCGTCAAACTTGGTTCCCCTGTTCGCCGCAGAAAATCTCCTTAGTGTCGAAGCCGGCGCGGCCGCCGCCAGAGCCGCGACCACAAGGGATACATACACAATAATTAGCGAGCAAAAGCTCCAATGGCATAGAATATCCGATTCCATAATAATCTAAATGAGCCGTCAAGTCAGATTTACGAACGTCCTAACCGAGCTAGACAATCGGCTTCGAACATCGGCGCCCGTCGTGCCGTCATAAACAGCGCGTAATTTGTTTGGCTTTTGTTTAAGGGCTGGGTCAGCGATATCAATGTGGGAGCTCCACAATCGTTCGGGAACCACATCAAATGCTCAGCGGCTTTCAAAGTCTTCAACGTTGACAATCGCGGAGGAGGATGCTTGGGCATCCTTCCGCTGAACGATGCCGGTGAGTTACCCCAATACCATGCGTCAGGAACAATCACCATCGATCGACCGACCGGCAAATTGACTCGGCGATCCGGCGAATGTGGAGCGGAAGATTGATCTGGATGGCTTTCGCGCAGGTAAAAAAACCCGAGGGGTTCCACTGCTACACGCTCACGCCGAATTCGTAACCGACTTCGATTTCTGCGGATATGACGACAGCTTGTTAGCCACGTGCTCACACGACGCATACGTGAAAATATGGAAGATCCCTCAAGCGTTGCTCACTGAGGCGGTGCAGGCGAACGCGAAGGTCGATCCACTGGTAAGCGGCCGGAGTTCACGATTTTTTTCTTCGTTCTCGAGCAAGAGCTCGCCCGTGTTCGGGAAGCCTCTCTGAGCTTCTCGCGTTTCCCTCCGCAGGAGACTCTGAAGCCCTCGAGTGGTGTTTGCCGTCTGGAGACGGTCTCGTGGAATCCGGTCGTGGATTGCGTTCTCGCCTCGTCCGCCAATAACAAACTCGTCCTCTGGGACGTTTCCAAAGCCAAAGAAATTTCGACAAACAGCTGTCATGAAGAGCTTCTCCAGAGCGTATCATGGAAAGCCGATGGAACGAAATTAGTTTCCACGGGACGCGACAAAACTATTCGTATCTGGGATCCGCGAGTGCAGGACTCCTGTGCGGTAAGGCTCTCTCTCTATCGTTCAATGTCCGGGACGGGTAACGAGGGCGCCGTTTTTCGGGCATCTTTGCTCCAGCTCTCAGTCTGGCCGGTCGTCCTTGCTTCTGTTTCCTCTTCCTCGCGGGAGCTCTGACCGTATCGCACTTTCGCTCTCGTTATAGTACGCTCAAGGCCACGCTAACAACAGAGATTCCCGAGTCGTCTGGCTCGGGAACACCGACCACGTCTTGTCGACCGGTCTCGGTGCCAATCGCGAACGAGAAGTGACGCTCCGAGATGTGAGGAATCTGCAGAATCCGCTCAAAGTGCTGGCCGGGGATTCCTCGCTCGGAATCTACCTTCCTCTCTACGATATCGGTATGTTTATGAATTAATCATTACATCAATATTTCCCTCCATATAATCCATCGTATTATTACGGTCAGGTCAGCTATTATTTTTATTATTCACGAGAGAGCGGTTTCGCCGAGGGGAAGGGGAGTAGACCGCGAAGTTGGAATGGGAACTTCAGGAAAATTCCGTCGACTCGTTTCCCCTCGCTAACCTTGCGACTGTCCCGCAGACACAAACATGCTCTTCCTGGTAGCCAAAGGCGATATCACAGTCAGCTTCTGGGAGGTGGACATTGCCAAAGAGCCGTTCTTGTACGAGTGTTCGAAGTATCTCGCCGACGTACAAACCAAGGGAGCCTGCCTCGTACCGAAACGAGCGCTAAGTGTGATGGAGGGCGAAGTGAATCGAATTCAAATACTCACCAAGGACTGCATCGTACCCATAAGCTACCACGTTCCGCGCAAATCCTACCGAGATTTCCATGCGGACATCTTCCCCGACACGAGGGCTCCAGTTCCTGCGAACGTTGCCCACGAGTGGCTATCGGGAAAGAACAATACAAAAGTTCCGCTTATCAGTCTCGACCCCTCGAAGAGAACGAGAGATCTCATCCGCTTCGACCATGAGCTGGGAACAGGTGCGGCCACCGAGTGGCTCACCTCGGATGTCGGCGTCGCCGGAGCGGACGGCAACCGTGGAAGCTATATTAAAAAAGATTCCGAACCGCTTAAAGAGCGAAACTTTTTAAGACAGCAGACCGTGGCTGTAGATAAACCAAGCCTGGCGCCGAAACCCGCACCCCGGACAAAACTCGTACCTGCGAAGAGTGTAGACGAGAGCTCAAATAATAAATTCAACAATAATGAACAACACAACAACGGACGCCATCATCAGGCTCTCGACAACAAGGTCAAGCGACAACCGTCGAAAGGAGGCGGTTTCAAAGTTCGAGTTTCCAAATATCGACACCTCAACGGCAATCTCGGAACCCGAGAGACTCAGATCAGTAATTTGCCTCCGCTCTGTAAAACTATTCCCGGAGAGAGCGAGGGTTTCCGGGCCAACGCCACCAGAGTCGCTATACCGCTAGCAACTTCGGGAGGTCATTTGGCTATTCTTGAAGTTTCTAAAAGAGGCCGACTCAACGCTGGAGTTCTCCCGTCGCTTATTTGCGGGTCGAACATTATGGACTTCTGCTGGGATCCTTTCGACGATTCAAGGATTGCCATCGGTTAGTGAGGGGCCTGATTGCCGGCGGAAATTCAAAGATTATATTCTTCCAAGAAATATCTAGTAGTTACTCTCTAAATCAATGACTAATTCCCCTTTCTCCTCGGCAGCGTGCGATGATGGACGGATCCGCGTTTGGAGCATCCCGGAGAACGGGCTCACCGAGTCACTCACTAAACCTGATTTTGAGCTCAAGGGTCACAAAGACAAAGTAACGCTGCTCAAATTCCACCCTTCAGCCAAAGACATTCTGGCATCTGCGTCGCAGGACCAATCGATCCTGATCTGGGACCTCGACCAGCAAACCTACGTCTACGAGCTCGAAGGGCACACCGATCAAATCTTCAGTATGGCGTGGCATCCCGACGGAAGTTTATTAGCCACTGTGTCCAAAGACCAAAGACTTCGAGTGTTCGACCCGCGCCGATCGGCCGAGCCTCTCCTGACAGGCCTAGGCCCGAGCGGTACCCGTGGAGCGCGTGTCTGCTGGGCTCTGGGAGGGACTCATCTCATCACGACAGGTTTCGATAAGGTGTCGGCCCGGCAAATCACGCTATACGACGCCTCGAGCTTGACGCTGATCCACACCGAAGGCATCGATGTGAGCCCGGCGATCCTCATCCCGTTCTACGACGAGGACAGCTCGACGCTGTTCCTGACAGGGAAAGGGGACGCGACGATCTTCTGTTTCGAGGTTCTGGCGGACACTCCGAATTTCTTCCCACTGTCCCACTTCAAGTGCCCGGGACCACACCAAAGCGTTTCGTTCCTGCACAAGAACGCATGCAACGTGGCCCAAGTTGAATTCGCCACGTGTTTCCGCCTGACCACGACAACCGTGGAGCCGTTGGCTTTCAAGGTTAGAACCCCATCGCCGCGCCGTGTTTCCCAGCTCGATGGTCGCTGGCCGAGTCGCTCTGATGACCATTGCGTAATATGATCTTGGGATCTATCAGATTGAGCTTAGCTGAAGCGCGAAAAACTTTCTTCCAGGTTCCGCGACTGCGATCTGAATTTTTCCAAGATGATCTCTTTCCGGACACCCGGGTGACGTGGCAGCCAACGATGACGTCGAAGCAGTTTACGGATCTCTGTGGCAAAGTACCCGCGAGGGTTTCGCTGAGGCCGGTTCAGATGAGCCAGTGTATGTAGGGTGATGATGAAACGCTCGCTGTCAGATGATCGGTCGGGCTGGTTGGAGGACCTCTTGGTTGGCTGGGGTGCCGACCCATTGATTCGCGAACCGTCCCCGGTCGTTTGATGGTCGGGCGGTCACAAACAGACAAACAACACAAAGAGTAGGATGTTCTAGACTGGTGTTGGACCGCTTCTAGGCTCATGGGAGCCGAACTCGCATATTCAACTCTTTTCACCTTTGACAATGTGTCAACCAGGCTTCTCGTACTTCCTACCTTCTTCTAATCATCTCCGGTGTTAACCGAGCTATTGGTGTGTGTCAATCTAACTATCCTCTATGTCATGTACATATCTGTCTTCTATCCGTCTCCTTGAGTAACCAAATTGCTATCCGCTCCGCATTCGGTCTTGTTATCATGATTTCTGTTTCTGACTCGGGTTCCACAACCGTTCGGAACGGTCATGGTGTTCACGCTTATCTTGTCCATTGGGCACCACAGCTGTTCGAATCGACAGCTTCCGCAAAACTCGCTCGAAGCCTCATCCATATCTGTTTGTTAATTTCGGTTCAATTCAAGTCTCGGTTTGCATGGCGCGCCTCGTCTATGAAGATATTTGTACACCTCTTATTTGAATCCATTCCAACGTCAGGTTCCGGTGTCAGAGCCGTGAAAGTGTCGTGAAGCCAACTTTCTCCGTTTACAGTGTCCGATGCTCCCGAAGTCGTCCGTCCTGCTCCGAAGTTCACTCCGAGTGCCGGAGAAAATCGCGGCTCGAATTACTTTGAAGTCAACGAGTCGAGCAACAGACTCCGACAAGAACTCGTGAGTCGTTTCCACGCAATCCTCTGAGCGTAGCCTATTGGAATAGGGAATGCATTCGCTTATAATTAGCCTCCTGAGAGATCGCGCCTAACGAGAAGACGGAACTTTTTTTCCCAGCTCATCGCGTCCATGAAGCAACGTATCCAATATGACGATGACGATGAGTTGCCTCAGGATCGGATGCAGGGAGCCGACGACAATGAATGGGTCTGTAGAGAATTTCAATGAGAAGATGACGCATCTGCCTGATGCAGGAGTCGGTCCCATATTTCGCTGGCTCCCATTCACATGAACAATCTCTTGCAGTCCGAATAACTTCCCGTTTTTCTGCACGCTGCCTTCTAAAGGATGGTCCGGAAGCGAGTCAGGAGCGGGTCTCGGGAGTCGGGAAATGAACTGCTCACGGGCGATCATAACACAGAGAATGAATGCACTTTGCCAAATGATTTTAGTCGCAACGAATTTTTCGTTACGAGTAGAGAAACCTTTTTTCTGTAAACTCTGTGTAAAACACAAAAAGCGGACTTTCACACAGATGCCAACTGTCGAATCGCGGCGTACGACGAGAGACAACGAAATCTGAGCTCCCTTACCACTACTTAGCTAGATGAACCCTGAACATGAGTCCGCGACTCATTCCGGAGCTAATGCGAGGAGAAACTGGGCCTTTTAATTTATGATTGGGGCTAAGATGGAACGCTCTTCATTTCAACTACGTTCAAGAACTCAACGCTTCTCTCGGATGCGAACAGGAGTAGGTTCCCGATGAATATTTTCCTAGAACAAGAGCCGAGAGGACGGAGCCTCCAGATTTCCGAGCCGGGAAGCCTCTGTGATTTCCGATGCGAATCGGTGATTTGCTCAGAGCCGAAGAGCAGGTATCGCTGGTGTTCCCGCTCTTCGACGTTTGAGAGCAGATCGACGGCGAGTTTCTAAGTTATAATTGAATGATTTCATCCGAGTTCCTTATCTCGCGATCGGAACCAAGAGATCGGAATTCGCGATCGGGAAAAAGACGATAGGAAGTTCTGTCGCTTCTAATATTATTTATCCGGGAAAAAGAGGTTGAGGAATTCGTGATGGACAGCGAATTTTCCGATCGTCCCAGGCGGTCTTCAGAAAACACGAGGGATCGAACGGATGTTGATACTATTTATTCCGCCATGTAGGATCACTTGGATGAAAGCTATGATTCTTTCTGATTCGCTTTTCGGAATTCCTCGTTCAACCTTTATCGGCTCTTGCTCGAGAAATGAAAAATTGATTCCCGAGAAGACTCAGTCAGTTCTACCAATACTCTATCTGGAATCGCTGATTAGCCCCGCGGATTGGCGTTGTATCGATTGACAATCGGGGTCCTTGTGCAAGGTTGTTGCCCGAGAAACCCGTTTGAGTTCCTCGGAACCGAGATTTGCTCGCGGAAAATTGTGCGATATTGGTCCAAAATATCCTCGCGCTCTACCTTAGTTCACTATAGCGGTGACGGAAAAAGGTCTGGATATATTTTTCCCCGAGTGACTCCCCCGGGACACCGGACACCGAAGGAAATTCACTCGCTGCTTCGCCAAACTATTTTCGGTACCTTCTGGCACACGGGTGAACGTTATCGACATTGTTGGAGTTCACTCTACAAATATATACTGGCATCCTACACCATACTATTATGGAGATTCACCAGGCCATATCCGACGTTGAACTTCTCGCTGAGACCCGCGATTTCCGAAAACGGCTGAATGAGATCTGAATTCTGATCAGCTGATCCTCCGTCGGCGGTGCTCTGAAGTGGAGTGCGGCAGTAGTACTGCTCGCAGCCTTGAAGGGGCCGCCTGAAATTATTGCGACATGCGAGAAACGTTGGTGCTGGAATAGCTTGGATTTCAACGAATAAGCTGTGCATTCTAGTCGGCAGAGTATTAACAGAGATATACGAGCGATGATTCATATATGTACCAGCAAACGAACCAACAAACAAACAAACACTTAATAGCATACAATTAAACAGGTAACACGTCGAGCGCATATAATAAACGACTTCGAATGCAAAACGAAAATCCGCCCCTGTTTATTACCCACACCGATCTTGACGCATTTCGGACGCCAGTCGGGGAATCGAGCGACTGAATCGTCGCCATCGTTCACGCCGCTCCTCCGAGAGATTGCGGACAGAGACAAGCAGAGAGTGTCTCGCGCTAGCATATCTCGCCCCACCTGGATTCCCCGCTGGAGTCAACTACGTGCGTCCGATGGCAGCATTGTACAGGTTTAGCCCAGCCGAACACAGATCCGGATGGAGTATTCGCGCGAGTGACTTTGAGAAGATGATCGTGATCCGATTTCTGGTTTAAGCTATATTTGGGAGTAAACAAGACGACCATCTGATTCAGAGTCTATCTGCAACCCTTCCTATTTAGATGAAAACTCTGACTCGTGCTTCCGAAGAGGGTGGAACGATGCGGATCCGAGTCCCATCACCACGGGAAATTTCTGCAAATACAGAAGTGATACTTCCCGGGAGGAAAATTCATGTCACGTCGAAAGAGAAGCTCCCCGTCTGCAGCTCAGGAACCCTCGATGGGCTTCACACTGTTCCCGAGACTGCCGGACTGGCATCATTGGGAGCCTTGGCTTGGACTGACGGATACCCTCTGGCAAGAGCCGAGGGCGTCTTCGTCCGTCTGCAAAATCTCCCTTTAATCGGCTTATCGCGCAAAGTTAGAAAGTTCCCGTCTGTGTATTGTCCTTCTTCGGCGGTATTCATTCAGAATTCGCTTTTTGCGCTGGATAGCAGCGAGGTAAAGGCTTCGCTTTCATGCGTTTTGTCTGCTTTCTTCGGACTGTTTTGTACGACTGAGACAGCTTCTGCATTTGGGACCATCCACAGGCTTGAGCGAAACATTCAGGGACCATCCTTCTGTTAATCCGAGTCAACGGCTCGAAGTCTCCGGGACGGAGGAATTCCGTGGAGCCCTCTGTGTTCACGCGAACTTCTCTCCAGGGCCGTGGTTTTCGGAGCAGAGATGTGCACAAGACTTGTGCAAAGCGGGACTTTCAGAACTCGCGGAAAATTTTCGACTCCGACTTCAGTCGTTTCAAGATAAGTACGACCGATTGAGGTCACGTACTCACTCACACTCGATCGGGCGCAAGAAAGCGTGAGATTGACCGTGGCTTAGTTTGCAAACTCCGACACAATGTGAAGAGACCTCCAACGGGCTCGGGTCGAGTTTACATAACCTCAACCCGAGCGCTTTGTTCGTGGGACAAACGGATTGGGTTTCATCTCAGCGGGTTCCACAGCCAAGAGCTATAAGCGTAGCGTAGACCTGGCGTCGCGACGCACGCCCGAATTTCAAATGAGCTCTCATGCCTGTGAAGTCTGAGTCAGAAGCTCAAAACATAGAGCACAAAGCCCTCAACATGGATCATAATGATCATGATGATGGCCATGTTGACGATGTGGCAGGATTGCTGGATGACATTTGAGACGACGCAATGCGAAGTATGCGGGGGTTGGAGCACGAGCTTTCTGTTGTCGACTGGTTGGCTGACTGCTGATTGTCTGAAGGAATGTCTCAACTTAAAGTTACCCGAGGCATTTCAGCGGATTTCGTTGGAAGCCTATGAATAAAAGTTCCCGACCCGAGCTCCACTCCCATGAAGAAGGATCTTGAAGGATCCCTTCCCGGAAAATAGAAGGTTCTTTTCTACCGTACTCTGCAGCGACACGTGCGGCGTGGCACGTTGGACCACGGCACAGATTATGGATTACAAGTGGGTGGCACTGAATGGCAGGAAAAAATAAAGATTGGCTCGAGGACACGCACCACAAACGACGACGAAATGAAACTCGGAGCCAATAGATCCACATCAGTCCAGTTGATGGATTCTCGGACCGGTAGGTATGATTCCAACGATATGACATCATAATACAGTCTCCGGTGGGCTGATGGACAGGCACGAACTCCTCCGGTGTATGTGTGTGAGTGAGTGGTTCTCTTTTTCAAATGAGCAACGAGTGAGATCTTCAGAGTTAGATAAGTTCATATGAGATCGGCATTGTCGAGACAGCGGCCGTAGCATATGCGGGCCCGAGCGGAGGATTCATATGCGGGCAGAGCAGCAATATGACACTGAGCTTTGTATTTGCAAACAACAACATAAAGATCGAATAGCATGGGCGGGGACCATACGACTCTCTGAAGAGAATAGGCTCTCGAACATTAGAAGAACAGTGAACTCAAGAGTCGCATTTTTCGTCTTCCTTCCGTCTCACTCAGAGTAGACCACAAACCAGATTTGACAGTGGGAACGATTCTCCAGAGAGCGCGCGAGTGTCCGGGATTTGGAAACTGCCCTCGATCTGCAGCTCCGCTTGCTTCGACCAGGGAATCGGAAATAGTTCACGATCGGTTCTGCCGCCGAACTTTCGGAGCGAGTCGGTGGGGCTGTTCGACACGAAGAGTTCGCGTCCAGCTTCGTACATCGAACGACAACAACAATGCTTGAAACGATGACGAATAGCACGGAAGCCATCGGCGCGGTAACATTTCATGTTCGCGGGAGTTTCGCTTTCTCTCAGAGCTCGAATCGGTCAGGTTAGGTCAAGTTATGTTGTCCGAGAGGTGTAGTCCGCCGGCCGCTCGGTTGGGCTGCCGCGTACGCATTCATTCGGTAAGGAGACCGATCAGCGATCGAACTGGCCAACAACCGGCCGGCTAAGTAGATGACGGCGGCATGTCGAATTGTGTTTGGCCGTCCATTAGAGGTCGTTCATCATAACTGGCGAGAAGCAAAGGGTGATTCTGTTAGTAGTTTCGCCGCTGCCGCCGCCGCCTTCACCTTTACTGGTGTTGGGGTCGCTTTGCATTGTATTCTCCGGCCATATAGCGGCCATTTAGAATATTCATCGTCTGGTGACTTTTTTCTTCCTAACCGAGCGTAGCTGTGTAACTAGTGGCGGACTTGCTTTTGGGCTGCTCGGCTTGTTCGGTTCAGATTTGATTTGTGAGCTCACTTTCTTTCCATAGATGATGATGATGACGATGCTGTAGCTGGTTTCCTGCTTATTTGCTGCCACAATTCATCCGTAACGAACTCTGAAATCGCGCGCCTTCTGTTCACAACTGTTCAGCGCTGCGTTCGTGGCAAAGGTCGCCCGCTCCCTGAGATGATCGAAATCAATCGCGTTTCCCAGCTCGGATAGGGGCGAGTGGCCAATTGACCATGCTGTGAGGGAGAAAGGTCATCCCAAGGGGTTGTCGGCTCGGCGTTCTGTCGAACGATTCTACGTGATCCGTTCCTCTGAGTTGACCGCTCTCGGACCTGCGCACGCCTAGGAGCTCTCCAGGTAACTCCGACGACTGGTCCCGATAAGTTCTCGCCCTCCTAGCCTCGCGCCGATATCTATTCCCATGCTCACTATCGCTCTACGG